CTATAATGTTATATTAAATATTTAAATAACAGTTCATGTTTTTCTTTGATCTTGAGGAATCGCGCGCTTTTCCCAAAAAGTAGTAAACACGAACAGAACCTCACGAAGACTGATTTTTGAGTTCGAACCAAAGAAATATTCTAAGCTAAAGCTTTCAAGCTTTTTAACGAAAAATTTACAAAGTTTACCGTTAAGTTGTCCTTAGTTTGAGTAAAGCTCAGCGACCACCCCTCAACGTCACCAAAAAGTTTCCAAGCCAAACGTGTAATTTACTATCAGCGAAAGGCACTAGCAGCACATGTGTTACAGGTGATTTTCGTTCGAGTGACGGGAAATACTGACGTTATCTGTGGATTAAAGGACAAAGCAGTTGGGTTCGGTTGACATAGTGTTTACGTTAATGCTTTGATGTATTGGAACGTATCCATTGCGTTAAGTCCATGGCATAGTGATGTGCGTAAAATATACTACAAAAGCAATATGTTAGGTTTATCTATGAGTGCATTTAAAAAATTCGAAAGATATTTATGTACTTTCACTTCTACGAAATGCAGTGCCAAAAAACCTATTTCGGTTGTTTAAACATATAATTTTATATTTTGTTAAACAGTAATTTTATACACGTTATTTACTCTACTTACTAAAAACTGAATTTGCAAACATTGTTAAATTTAGTGGTTTTTATTAAAGGACAGTTCAATGGAAGTAACTTTCCGCTAAAAATATATATAAGTTTTACGTTCAGTATCACGTTGCTAGGTTAGGTTCTATACCTAAGAAAGAATATATAAATCATGCAAAAAACAATGCCTCTACAAACAAAATATTATTGAAATTTAACGATTAAAAATAAAAATATAATTAATTAATTCAATTATTCTACAGCTGGTTTATGATTTCGTTCTAATATAAACAATAATAATAATAATGTTAATAAAACTTTCACAACAAATTAATAAAACTCTAGAAAAATGTGCGAACATAAAAGTCAAGTACGGCTTTGGGTCAGTTGGTTAAGGAGCGATGACTCTGAGTTTCAAATTTGACAGGGCACGAGTTCGATTCCTGGTAATTGCAGTCTCAAAAAATTATTTACGAATAATTAAAGAATCATTTTTAAGACCACTGATGAAAGGTATTTGGCAATACTCGAAACAGCTGTATGGTCAGCCAAAAATTCAATTAATTAAAAATATAAAATTAATTTTTGTTGTTGTAATTCACTGCTATTCGAAAAAACCTCTTTATAAGTTTTTACTTAAAATTTAAGCATATATATTTTAAGCATATAGAAATAATATTTTATTAAATATCATTACTCAAAAAAGCCTCTCAATTCAAATAAACCGCGACCTATCAAACAAGCTATGCATTATATATTAGATGAGGTAAAAAGAAATCCAAATATAAGATAGCTTTAGTTATCTGTATCCCGCGTTGTACAAGTCCGATAGGGTTATGCTAGATGGCGTTAGAAGGTTAAGATTTCATGCTAAAATAAACTTTTGAGGTTTATTTTTTATTTTTTTATAAGAAGGTAGAATGCTCCATCAAACCAAATGTCATAAGAATGGTGTGCCCGACGCTCTAACATATTAATAAAATACATTATATGGACTAAAACACCTCCTCTTCGGAGAAACTTATTCTCCCTCCAGATCCGCTTTCGCATTGCTTCAGTGAATATGTAAATAATTGCGAATTGAAGTTTAGAGACCATTAAAAATATATTTCTATTGAGAAAATGTATTCAATCACACAGCGCAAGAAATCATCTTCTAATTTAATGAAATTAAATATGGATTATTGAAACAATCAGCCTATTAGCCTGATTTAAGTTTCGTCCTCATCTGAAACTTTTCTCTGATATAATGGATAAAAATTTCATTTCTGCTATAGAAACAAATTAATATTTTTGCGAAATTATCAGAATTTTAATATAAAATTGAAGCAGAGTTCGTATTTATTAATACGCTCAGTATAATCAGGAAGAAACCGAGTCCACATAACCTTTAAAATTTACAATATATTTGTTAGAATTAAATCCAACATTAAAGTCATCACTTAACTTAAAAAACGTGAAATTAGTTTGCTTTTTAATTAATAGATAGAAAGTACAGCATATAAGTTTGATAGACAAGAATATACAACCGGATTCACGAACCTGACATCGTGCTTTTGTTGAATTTAGATTACATATCTATTTTTTTTACCAAATCTGTTTTTTCGCGTGACAAACTTTCCGATAAAATGATTATATTCTTTATTTAGAATAGTGTGAAAAATAAGAAATAATTACTTACTGACATAATTACTTATAATTAATATGGATGCAGCAATGCGATATGTTATCATATCAGCCATGTTGTAAAAAATTCACATTTTAATTCTCCATAAGTTTAAAATAATTTATTTATAAATGTCAAGAAATTTCTTTACGAAATTGATTCTATTTTAATACAAATTTTACTAAGAATGTTATATGTTTTACCATCCTTACCGTAATAATGTAGACAGAGATTAATATATATGAATTGAGTGTTTTATGCGATATATTCAATACATCAAAGTAAGCTTCTTTCAAAACCAGCAATAGCTTATTGATTGACGGTTATCTCTGTATATCCGCTACATATTTTTTTTTTTATAATTTAGAGGTTATGTCAGGAAGAGGAAAACAGTAATTATTCCAATTTTGCCAAACAAAATAGTTTAGTATGGCCGTGTGCGAGTTCGAGTAAATTGATGGTAAATTGAGAGAAGTAGTAAATTATGTCGTTATGACAGCGAATGTTGGTATTTACCAGAATTTCGAGTAGGGTAAATTAAATAAAAATTAGGTAAATTAGGTATTATCATTGTGAAAATTTTATTAGATGGTTAAAAAATAAATAAATAAATCTGAAAACTTTTAACCAAAAATAATAAATAAGTACAATAAATAAATATTTACGTAAATGCAGTGGAAAAAATACCTAGGAAGTTAAATGTACTTTATCTCAATTTACTTGAACTCGGACACGGCCTATATCCGGAATATGAAAAACTGTAAAAAAAGGAATTACTAAACTCTTCGTAGCTTTATTATTATTATAGACTAAGTGAGCACATTGACAAGGATCTCCCATGAGCTTAACATTTATTTTTGGATCGCCTCAACTTACTATATTTATAGATAGTAAGTAAAATTAAATTCAACTCTGTAAAAATTTCTCTTGACGATGGCCATCTGTACAACTTGCTAATTCGACCATATTTCTAGAAGTTGTGGTTTCTCCAAAAAACGAATTCGCCACTGAATTCAAATAAATCATTCTGAAAGCTGTGTTTTGGTGTGTTAACCGCAAACATGTGTCTTTCACAATCAATTTCGGTTGAGATCAAGATTGAGATTCTTTGGTAAAATTAATTTATCTATCCGTTTTGCTATAATGTGTATCCAATTTGATCAGAAATTAGCTTTTTTCAAACGAAACTGATTTGCGAGTTGGAAAGAAAAGTACTGCTGTAATTGTATTAATTGGAAGCACAATTCTGGCAGTAAGAACCAGAGCTAAATCGTTTTTTTATAATTTTTTAAAAAAAAATTTTTAAAAACTAATTGTATTGTCAACAGATTTATACGTTTTAATATACTGAATGGTGGTGTAAAGAAGCCCAAAACATATCAACTAAAAATCAGTTCAGTAGAAATTCTTAAATTCAGCTCATTGAAACATACATTGCACTTAGATCCGCTCCTGGCACCAATGATCAGGAATATATCAAATTTCTATATTTTTAAATAAATACGGCCCATTAACGCCAACAGTCCATTTACTTCTGCAAGAAATTCTAGAAAATATTTCGATTTTCTACATTTCTGAACAAGTAGGGCCCAATAATGCCATCACTACATAAACAATCCCAAACTATATATTTTTTAGAATGCATCTATAGCTAATGGAATGCCTTTGAGTTCTCTTTTTATTTTTTATTTTTTTTTAATGAAGCTACCACATGTACTGACATTCTAAAGTAATTTAATATAAATAATTTAAAAACGCAATTTGAACAAAAGTTTTTACATAATAATTTGCCTAACATTACTTAAAATAAAATGTTTACTTTAAAAAAACAAACCAACTCTGAAAAGAATTTGGCGTACACGCAAACGAAAAACTTATTTCTCACCGCAGTTTACACTTTTTTGTACTATTCCTCAAGTGCTTGTAAGGTTTTCGTGCTGAATGTGAATTAAAAAGTAAATTAAGAAGTGCTGAATGTATTTTAGACAGCTGTCAATGTAGAAATTTGTATTTACACTGAATAAATTAAGTAATTGAAAATAAATAATTAAACAATATATCAGACATTATATATTAATTAATATACAAATTAATAATAATTTTTAAATTAATTATTTTTTATTTTATAATTTTTGTATAGTTATAACATAAAATTTTAAAATTTCAAAAATTTTCACAAATAAAATTTTGTGCACACTTCAGTTTGCGCAGCTGAGGATTAGACCCCCAACGGCATTGTATTAATATAATATTATGTTTCCACTGTAGCTAATATAAGTAATTAATGAAATTAAGATTTAGTCGTTTTCACTAGCATAATCTGATTTATGCATGTGAAATAGATTGTTTATTTTATATATTATTTTATTTATTATATTATATGATAAATATTTCAAGTAATTGACTGCATTTGACAGTTTCCGCCTTAAGACAGTTATTTTATTTATTTGTAATGATAATTTATATTTATAATGAGCTCATTTATATGAAAGCTTTTGGTTTGGTAAATGCTCCTCATTAGCGATCTTAACGAGCAATACAACCTAAATGAGACAAGTGCAAAAATGATGTTGGTAAAAATAGCGGCTATATTTTCTTCTTACTGCATTGTCTGTTCTATTAATTAATACGTTTTACAACACTGACCACTGTCAAATCGAGAAATGTCAACATTTATCAAATCAGCTGTTTGTACAAATTTTCAATGCACTTGCTCAACTGTTGAAATGATATAAAATTAAAATACAACACTAAATCTAAATTGAAGTAATTATAAATATTTATTTTAGATGTTTGTGGATACGTTACTAAATTTTTGTATTAGTTTTAAAAATATATTAAGTAATAAGGTAATTATTATCTAGCAAAGCTTACACTGCAGTGCTAAAAATCCCGCCATACAAAAGTTATTTAAAATTAATTACTGAATTGAGTTTTTTGTCATTTATAAAGTAAAAAATAAAATTTTTTTTAAATAAATTTTAATCAATAATTTACTTTGTTGGCAAAAGTGTTAATAAAAAACGATAAAGTCTCATTGTGAAAATTTAATTAACCTAAAAATTTGTTAATTACATTTCATCACAGCTGATAAATATTGCAGACAGCGGCACAAATGCAGGGCCGGATAGTTTGTTGCAACCAAAGATAACAAGCAAAGATACTTTGAACAGTATAATGTCAAAATACGATGCCTATGGAACACGTACGAATCCCGATCCAAATTGTCGAACCTGTACTGATTTCAAATCTTGGTCTAATCAGCAACGACAAGTATTTCATACAAAAACGGGCTCGGTAAACAAATGAAATCCTTATTCTCTATACTCACATAAATATAACATTTATAGGATAACACCCCTGCCCATGGCCAGGAATCAGGTCACAAACGAGATGATTGTCCTATGGATAAATCAAGACTGGGACACGCCACATGGGGTTTACTACACACTTTCGCAGCTTTTTACACCGAAAAACCTACAGAGGAACAAAAAGCAGATGCAAGAAACTTTTTTGAGGCACTGTCAAAAATATATCCCTGCGAATATTGCGCAAATGATTTTCGTAAAGAGTACGTTTATATCTGGCAGTGAAAATTCTCCTAACGAACACTTAGCCCTCTCTTGTGTTTTGAAACAATTGAGCCAGTTGGCTTAGTATGTATGACGGTTTGCTTACGGAGAGTTTTCACTTTATATAATGTATAATTATTTCTACGTTATTTTATAAATATTTATTTATAGTCTGAAACAAAATCCTGTTAATGTCGAGTCCCAATCAGAGCTATCAATGTGGCTATGTAAATTTCATAATCGAGTAAATGCGAAATTAGGTAAATCATTATTCGATTGTAGTAAAGTGAACGAAAGATGGAGAGATGGGTGGTTAGATGGATCATGTGACTAAATTATTTACATTGGTATATATAGAAATTACCAGAAAGAAGTAAAGGGATTGTGCCTATAAACTAAGTTATTGCAAATAAAACATATATTGTGATTATGAACAAAAATGATATAGGCTAAGATTAATTCACGTAAAAATATATAACACCAATAATGTGAACTTAATTTATATATAACTTAAAGTTCTGTTAAAAGTTTACAAGTAATCGTTACAATATACATTACAATATTATTTTGCCAAAAGTAGTTTTATAAAATTTAATTTTATAAGTGAATTTGTTGTAATTATTGCATTTTATGCACTTAAATTTTTTTCTGTGAAAAGTTCATTTTTTTTTTATCTTAAAGCAGAGTTAGTTAAACAATCTGTAAAAAGATCAATAAACTTTATTTTTGTTATACTATCAAATACAAATGTTAATAGAAATCAATTCTGTTGTTTTATGTAAATCTTTTTAACACACATAACCGTTATTTAAACAAGCTAAAAATCCACAAATCCTTTACCATTACTTATTGGGCAACAGTTTTTGAAACACTATATTTATTTATTTGAACAATGTAGGATAAAAAGAATATTTAGATATTATGTCTTCGTTTCTGCTTAATATATTTTATTAGACTATTAGATTATTAGACTTTTATTGACAATAACGTAATTTAATTACGTTTTTAATTATTAAACTATTTTTGATAACCCCTAGAAAATTTTTTTTCGACCATCTAATACAACCTTTCCGATTTGTACCCACATAATGCGCATATTAATTATAAGTTGAAAATAAGTTTTTGATTAGAATGTATATTCAATCACTTTTTATAAAATTAAATTAATATATACTCGTAGCTTAGATTTCAAACTTTTAACTTAAAAGACGGTTAATAATTTCAGTCATAAATGTATGTGTTGGAAAAATTATATCTTTTGTGTTGGATGTAGTATATCTTTCAATATTCTGTAACACTACATTATCCGAACCACCATAGTAGGAGACTTAAACCCACTAAAACCACTTCTTAGAAATGAATGGAGAAGGTTTCTACCACAGTATGGAAAGTTCATACTAGTAATAAGTGAAGAAAGCTGAGATGAAGAGTGTTAGTAACGAGGAGTCTTAAATTTCCCTAAGCCAGTCCCTACATTGGATCCAAACATATATTTATATACATTTTTCTCTACTATATTGCAAAAATGTATATAGGTGCCTAGGTCGAGCAGTCACTTTCCGGGGCGCTGGATCGTGGTCAGTGTGTAGGCATTTCTATCCTCTCAGTCGTATAAAACAAACAAAAGTATATTGTATAAATAAAATTAAATAATCGCATATTCTCAAAGATATACCGTTCGTGCTTAAAGTGGTCCTTTAGGTCTGTCATATGAACAGGGTCTGAAACGTGGTATCATAACTAGCCATTGTTTCTTCACATGGCTGTCAGTCTGAACCAACCTAACCTTAGATATTGTAAACCAGTTAACAAGAATCGGAAAACTACTGTAATAATAATTTAGTATCGTTTAAGAATACTATTTAAAGTGGTCGTTGAACTCCACCAATTACTGGAATGAATTTGTTGCATATAATAAGAATAAAACAAATGTGTACATCAAAATCAAATACTAATAAAAGGCTACAGATCATGTGTCCTGGACCCACTCATTTTTTTGAGACTACCAAGTTTTGCTCAAACACTTCGTTAAAACGTTAAAGCAGTTATAAAAAAAACCATAAAATATAAACATTAAGTAAGGTAAAGGAACTTACTCTTTATAGAAAAGACAACCTTCTGAGAAGAAGTCTTGAGATTTGCTCAATCAAATTTAAAATTAATTTTCATTGAAACTGTTATTGAACTATTGGTGCTGTAAGAAAATGTAGACTTCTCAGACCTCTTCGACATATATTTATATGAATTTTGTATGAAAAATGGCACTCATTGTTGCCGTTTTATCAAGTTAAGTACAATAGTCTTAACTAGCATAAGCTAGCACTGCGTATGCGCTAAGCAATATCAAGTATTCTTTTCACGGTTCCAAAAAATGTCGTTCGCCACACCCAAAAGGGACTACACAAGCAGTTGCCTGCGGACTACAATAACAACATGCGGTTTCATCATCCTCCCCACAACTGTGCCAATCTTCTAGCAGTTTTCCATAAATGACCAATGACTATATGGTCAGTCAAAAATTCAATTAATTAAAATAATATAAAAAAAAATCATTTTCAAAAGCGCACTCGAGCACTTTTACTAACTTGAGGTATTTTCAAAACCCCTCTTTACGACTTAACTGGATTATTGTTTATCACTTCATCAGACTAATCAATAATTGACCTCAGATCTGCATACCTCTCCGAGGAACCTGTAACCATTCTGAGATTTGATAAAGCGCTGTTGGCAAGTCTGCTAGTTTTCGTAAATAATTTCAGGGCTCTATCCTTTATGTATTTTTTAATGGGATCACTCTTGAGGTCCCTGAGGATGTCATTCATCCTAATGTACCATGGTACTTTAAAAAGTCTTCTCAGATCCTGGTTTTGTGCAATTTCTAGTTGTCAAATAGTAGTGTTTGAAGCTTTGCTAAACGCTACACATCCATATAGAAGTGACGGACGAATTATTTGAGTATATAATAGCTTCCTATTCTTAGCATTGAGATTTTCATTTCTGAATAGCGGTTAGAGGTGATGAAGAATTTTATTTTAATTTTAAATAAATTAAAACTATTTCTCAGAGATGACTTATGATGGATAATTCGAGAGTATCTGCTTTAGCCGCATAGTCAGCTCTTAAATTTTGATTAACAATATCAAATTATAGTAAATAACTTATTGCTGCTGTTAGTAATATTATTTGTTTATTTGTCTATTGTCACCCAACAATAATAGAAAAACAATTATATAATTTATAATTTTATAGTTTATTTGTCGCCATAATGTATAACAAACAAATTAAAAAACAATTAATTGCTTGTACCTTCTTTAATTGAATAAATCTAAGTTATTAAATACATTTTTATGGGTTTTTTATTATTGTAGTTAAGCAACAAGAAATTAATAGTAGAATTTAATGAAGTCATCAAACGTATTTAAATTCTACCGGGGAAATTGCCAGCATCACGTTGCTCGTCCCACTTCTCTACCCAAGCGTTGGGGCACATTGAGTTGAAGACTTTCTTGAAGTAGTTGCACGGTGCGTATGCTTCACCACGAATCTTCTGGCAGCGATGATAATCCAAATACGATTGATAGCAATACCGTGTTTGGTTTTGATTGGGGAATCGTGGATCAAATGGTGCTGTTTCCAACTTCATATCTTCCCCTTTTCCTTTTTTAGACATATTAGAAATATTTTCTTAATATTATTGAATTGACCATAAAAGGAAGAAATATACAGAGAAATACATACGTTAGTTCAAGGATGAGGATGGAGAAGTTATTAGATGGTTACTTCATTACGGTGAATTTTGTATACTTAACATAATTTTATATATAGCTTAGTATTAATATTAATATTATTACTATTATTATTTTTTGTAAATATGAATAGTTGGTTCTTACAAAAAAAAAAAATTGTCTACGACTTACTAATTGTTGTAATAGTTAAACTTAAACATCTATAAAGAAAATGGAACTGATTTCTTTTTTAAAATTTTAGAATATCTTTTTGTAAAATCAACAAATGCTTAAAAATTGATAAGTTAATGGTAATAGTTATATATACATATACAATAGTATTTTTGTTCTTTATCTATGTTCCTACTTTACAAGAGGCCGGTTGCCACTTTCAGATTCGCATGCATTATTTTTATACTTGTTAACTTCGGCCAAATATAAAGCCCAGAAGTCTTTCGGATCTGATGATGTTTCGGCATTCGCTTTAGGTTTTGCTACAACGCCGGTTTTGAGAATTTTACCACCACGACGACGACCCACAACAGGCGGTGGTGGAGCTGATTTACCCACAGCCGTAGCCGCCGCATAATGTGCTGTTGAAGTGCTAGCTGTAACGACAGGTAACATAGGTGCAGCAGTTGGTACACTTGAAGAAGGAAATTGTTGCGCTGCTTGCATTTTTTTAAATACTTCCAAAAATGAGCCATCGTTAGCAAACACTGGATGTGAGGCTTCGGGCTTTGGAGGTGGATAAACTTTACCTTCTCTAGCTAGAGTTTCACGCAGTTTTTCTTCCATCTCACGATGTATACGTTCTTTATCTATTGGTTCATCTGTGCTTAAATTATAGTAGGCACCTTCACGAGTACGTTTCGGTAGTGGTAGATTTTCTAAATAGCTGTCATAATCTTGTTTGGATGATGAAGTTGTATTGACTGAATCCTTGCTATTGTCAGACGCTGTTTGTTCTTGCATATATTTGTTGTGCTGCTCTTTATCAGAACGTTCTGCACTGGGTGAACGCGAACGTGAGCGTGACCGTGAACGATGACTATATTTATTCGAGCGTTGTGGTGTACGGCTGCGTTCATGACGTTTCGAACGTGATTTTGAATCATCTCTATAGCGACGTGATGTATAATGTTTGTCACGTCGATCATAGCGATCCTTGCTACGACTACGGCTACGGCTGCGAGAACGACGATGACGGCGACGTTCTAATGAGTGGCTGCGACTGCGACTACGGCGATATCGGTCACGTTGGCGATGGTCTTGCATTGCATATTCATCACGTTTACTGCGTTGGCTGGACATCAGTTTATCTGTAATTTAAACCATATCCAAATAAGTAATTGCGCTGCTTGATGTCGTTACCATTTTTTCACCAATAGTATTTACTTTGATTTATATATATTTGCTTGCCACAATACTCTTTTTAAATATACATATTTATTTAGAAGCAAGAAAATATTTTATATAAAAAAGTTTAATTAAAAAAAGGAATATTACTTTTACTTGCTCAACGTTATTTTTTTAATCCGTATCCTGCGGTTAATCAGCGTTTCTTCCTTGCTTGTTGATGTGGCCGCAACGTTGAAGGTTAGCTGTTTGAATGGTTTACCTGCCTGTTCCTGTATGAAAAATGAACTTGAACGCATGAATATTACGTTTCCCTTTCGTACAATTTAAAAAGTTTTTCATATATACTTAATTGTTTTTTAACGGTTTTTAGTATGTTATAAAGTTTTACACTGGAAACTAAAGAATTTTTCTTTAAATATGACATTATGTAATTTTGCCTACTTTGAGGCTTTGTGATGGTGAGAAAAGTTACGTATTTATTGAATACATTTTTAAGACCTTAATTAAAAATCAATTCCATTTCTTTTCATTTTATAACTAAGACATATGTAATATACTTATAATTAATTTACCAACATAAATCATACCTTTGACTTAAACGAACAGGAATATTTTTAATATCCAAACGATTGCGACTACTTAAATGAATAGTTTCTTGTGCTCAAGACAATATGGCGACTGTGTAGTTCTCGTCTGAATTGGCTGAATGTGAGTGGAGAATAGAAAATTATTAGAGTTGTATTTCGAAATACATTTCAACTTAAAATTAAAAAAATGTTTTAGTAGAGAAAAATATTTTATTATAAAATATTATTTCATGGCTTGCTTGTCAAAAAAGAAAAATTTGGACATAAATAATTTAATAATTATTTCATCGATGTCCAGTCATTATAGAGTAAAAGTGCGTAAGAGTACTAACTCAAGAACAACAAGAAAAATAATGGACATCGAAAAATATATATATATATATATATATTTAATTACAATCAAATCATGAGATATATATTTTATATATACCAAACAAAACAATTATATATTGAATACTTACAATAACTAGAGTCTCCACAGTTCATCGGTGAAGAGTAATAAATTCCTTTAATCCGAGATGCTAAAATAAATATTATTATGTTAGTAACAATAATATTGTTATATTAATAATATATATTATTAATTAATTAATTAATAATATATATTATTAATTAATAATATATTAGTTATTAATATATAATTAATATTTTATATTATATATTAATAATATTGTTATATTGTTAAGCAAATCAATTGCAATTTAATAACAATTATATCATAAGATATGTGTTTTATATATACCAAACAAAACAATTATATATTGTATACGTACAAGTTTTTAACAGTCCAATTGCTAGAGTCTCCTTAGTTCATTCGGTAGAAGTAAATTTAAATGTAATCAATTTCTTTAGTCCGAGATGCTAAAATAAATATTGTTATAAATACATTAAATGTATATAAATAAATTCTCATAATAATATATAAAAGTATTACCAGTTGTTAAAAGATTTAAGATAAATGTATAGAAAAAATGAAACACAAATTTTATTTAAAAATTAATTTTATATGTAATATTAACTAAAAAAAATATTTTCTTAACTAAACGTAAAATGATAAGTAAATATCAATTACTTTGTTTTTAATATCAATATTAATATGTCGGAATATACATTTAAAAAAAAAATTTGTAGGGACCCCTAAAGATGTTAACAAAAACCAAAAAAATTTTAGGTTATAGCACATTCACACCATCTTATTTAAGCGGTTTTGCCTATTAATCACTACTAAGGATGATTAAGGGGGAATACCAATCATTATTAGAGAAAATGGAAAAGATTAATTAATTTTTTAGTAGACAAATTTTTAATAAATATAGAAATGAGTAAATTATATTTTCAGTGTTCTCTTAAATAGAACAAAGAATTAAATTCCTATTACTTTTGCTCTACATACAAAATATTCATGCCGTTTCTATTGAGCAGTTTACCACTTTAGCATAATAATGAATAATGAAGTAAATTTTTAATTAATAATATTTGCATAAACAATTGTATCTATAAATTATACACAATCGATTTAGTTGGAAATATATATTCTAAAATATCAATATAGCATTTTCCGCACTAAATCTATAATTTATAAAGAATTGTTTAAACATATGTTTTTATTTTAAATATTTGCGTACTATTTACATATTAGGTCTGTTCCACGAGCTACACATAGTAACTTTGAGTAACACTGTGTATACACAAGTGCGTTCCACGAACAAATTTGTGAGTAAATGAGAGCATCTGAGAGAGCGTAACATCCCTGTCGAAATTTGAAAATGTTACACAGACTTTACTCAGACTTTAAGTAACACAACACAACCAGAATATAGAATTGGTGTATTCGATATTACATAAAAAAAAAAGAAAACGTGTGTGTATAAAAAATTATATACTTTTTAAAATTTACATATTATATTAACACGTAAGATAAATGTGAAGTGTAACCATGTGGTAACACTTTGACAGTTATAAACGTCATGCTTTCTTCACACTATTGTGCGCGCTGGCAGCACTCTTGCTTATGTCAGATTGCAATGAAATGTTTATTATGGTCTGAAATAAACATTGCAAATCTAATTGGAATATTATTAGCAAAATTATTGGCAACGAGTTCGACTTTATTTAAATACTTAAATTAATGTTAAACTAATTTGTAGGTTACCAACATAGTGCGTTTAAAACCAAGCTATGTTAATGCAAAATACACAAAGGTATGGCAAAAAGCAAAATAAACATTTTAAAAAATTGAGTAATTATTTTATAATAAAAAGAAATTATTTTAAATTATAAACTAACCATACAACACTTACTGCTTTAGCGAATTTGTTCAAAGCTTGTTTCTTTTTTTACTAGCTAAATGCTGTAAATATCAAACTAAAGAAGCAGACGAGCCAAGGAAACAAATTTCTAATTTGCTATAAAATGGATTTTAATAAATATATTTTTTTATTGCTTTTGACAATAATATCAATGAAGATTATAACAATATTTTGTTTTTTACAGTTTGATAATGCATTAGATGTTACATATATTTAACATTAGTAGCTGCTCATACAACAACGAAAGTGATAACAATGAGCGGAATGAGTGGCGGAACACCTATTCCTAATCTGAATCAAGGAGAAAAAGTATTTACCGAACATGAGCCCGATGAATTAGGTCAACCAACTGAGGAAATATGCACTTTAAAAAATGCTTTGACTCCTGAAATTCTTACGGTGGCGCCACCTTTAATGGACTTCGAGGATGAATTGGTGTGGTTTGATTTAATCAGCAACACCACAAATAAAATTTTATATGATAACACCGATTGCATTGATGCAAGTCTGAAAAATTTGTGCGAACAAGCATACCTACAACCATTAATACCACAAGATCAAAAACTGTTACTAGAAGAATTGACGAAAAATGAAAATTTTGTACATCAGTTTGGTTTAACTTCAGAGAAACTTCCACAACTTGTTGAAAATAATCCATTGATATCTGTTGAAATACTAACGCGACTTGTAAATACAACACAAATGGCGCAGTACTTCCGTGTATTGGTCGACCGTAGCATCACATTGCACTCCATGGAAGTTGTTAATAGATTAACGACTTTAGTCAATTTACCACCAGAATTCATCAATTTGTATATAAGCAATTGTATTTCCACTTGCGAAACAGTAACGGATAAGTACATGCAGGCACGTTTGGTGCGTTTAGTTTGCGTATTCTTGCAATCACTTATAAGGAACAAAATCATTGATGTTAAAGCATTGTCCCTTGAGATCGAAGCATTCTGTGTTGGTCATAACCGTGTAAAGGAAGCAGTAGGTTTATATCGTTTGTTAAAGCATCTGGACACGGCGGAACAAAATTTGTCGTAATCAAAAACCACCAAAAAGAAAGTAAATTATTTGATATGTACAGATCTTTTTTATATATATTAATTAATATATTGTTCATACATTTTAATCATACCTAAAGATTTAAAATATATTGTAAAAAATATATATACATATATATATATATATACACCTAACGCATGTTTGGTTTATTTGAAATACATAATTTTATTTATAGAAGCTTACTCTACACGTTGAAAATTATTTAAGTAAAAACTCCTAACAAAGAATAGGTTATATCGTTTTACTGTGGAGACCAAGTTTACTCTACGATTTTACTGTAATAGCACCACATAACATAGGAACTTGAATAATTAATTATGGAATCTTTTCGAGGCCCCAATAAAGAACCTTTATGAGGGAGTTAAACACAAATTTTTCTAAAAAGTTTGATATGCTTGTGGCTAAGCAGCCCATTGGAATTTCAAGGATTTTTGCTGGCACTAATCGAAGCTTTATGCTTGGATATAGTTATATATTCTCTTTGAAAGAGAACAACCCCTATTCAACCCCTCTGCTGTTCTTAGTGAAACAGCAACTGGTTGAGAAATGTAACTCCACATCAAATGAAAATAATGAAAACTGTTATTCTACCCATATTACTTTGGATTTTAACTCTATGGCTCTCTACCATGACACTCCTATTAAAAAGGCTAACCTCTATTGAACAGGGCAGAAGAAGCTGCGAACTCTGACCATTGTTGTATCAGATTTAGACCTACAATTCCGTGTCGCAAGTGAAACTCATTCACTAGCATTTGAACTCCAAATGGTTTCGGGTGCTGCTTGAATTTTGAACAAACCCACCTTACCCCGGAAATATTTTAACCACTTTTCCGAGGGGGTAGCTAGAGCTGGGTGGCAATAGTACTGCAGCACAGTTTCCTATTCTTTTCAATCTCTACAGCCTCTAAGATATACGTAAGAGGAAACTTCCGACCTTACAGCGGATCTGCCTAATAGCCAGTAAGTAGTTACACAACCCATGACTTTAGATAAGTTCTCTATTGTGAGGCTAAGTAGATATCTTCATTGTTTCCTACTATAATTTTTATTTTATATTAAAATACTTGTTCTGAAATTTTCAGTGAAAAGTTTTTAAGAAAATAGATGAACCCATGAAACGTGATGATTACAATTTTAGAATTCACTTGATAACCGAATTGGTGTAAATGTTCAACAAGGACACTATTTTCCTTTTTATCATACGTTTTAAGCGTAACGTATAAGATAGATTGGCCTTGTTATTCAAAACGGACTCTTAAAGAGAAACAAAATAAATTCAAGAAAGTCCGCGAATGTGATTTTTGAACGGAATAGAATTGGGCCGTACAGCAAAAAAAATTCAAAACCATATATCGCCACTGTGAACGAGGAATTATAATAATTTATAGAACTACATTTGCAATTCCGTTATTAAATAATGTATATAAATATATTTCAATTTAAGTAAAATAGGCAATAGCAATATAAAAGCGACTTACATTGTATAAACGCCAAAGAGTTTCACAATAGTTTCTAGTCCTTCAAATTTTGGACTAAAACTTTAATCAAGAAATTAAACGACTTAGCAAAGAGCTAATCATTTTAAAATTAAAATATGTTCTGAATAAAAAAAAAGTTTCAATGTTTCTGATTTTTATTTTAAATTTATGTATAAATTTATTCGAATGTCAAATTCAATAAAATGGAAAGAAAATTAAAACATATGAAAAAACATGGCAATCTTGATTATTTGTATCAGAAAGTTTAAAAAGCTTAAAATCAAAGTTCATTTCAGAAGTATTGCATACGATTGAGCAACAATAATTTACTACTGTATTTAATATAATTAGACTACGGTGAGAATTATCAACTACTATAGCCAACGACTATAATATAAATGTGCGTTGGACACTAGGTTGAATTGATAAGCACTGAATCCCAAGAACATATTCCTGGATTCTTAGCAATTAAGTACAGATTTAAAGTCATAATTTCAATTCAGCTAATTTAATTTATACTGTCATTTTTAAAACTTAAATTAGGCCTGTAAAATTTGACCTTTAATGTTTAAGATAAGATATCTTTAAATTCAAAATTGCTTTCTCATCACCCTAATAATAAACTAAATATAGGATGTAATTTTGAGATATTTTTTATATGCTAAAATTTATATGTCTTCGATAATATGATGTAAATTTATGGTGAAGTTGCATATAATGTTCTTTTTATATTTAATTGAGTTGAAAAAAAAATTATAGCAAAATTTGAATACTTTCTTCAAAAAAACACTCCTATTAGTTTTACATATTGAATATCATTCAATTTAAATAATTATTCTCCAATCAAATGTGTTCCTATGTAATGTGTAGTTTATCAACTATATAATGCTATGTCATTAATAATGTTTACTGTTAAATATTTAATAGTGTTTTTTACAAAATATTGCAAAAATTAAATACTTTCATCAATCAGAACAATCAATCAAAAACAACACCAATCAGCTTTAACATAAATACTTTATTAAATAGATTTTTAACGTCCATTTTGACGAAGGAAACTAAATTTATAATATAAACTATTATTTTCACTATAAACTATTATAGTAACTTATTGCTTATTATACAATGTTTAAAAATTCTTAACTAATACTGGATTCACATGAGAGTTTTGTTTTCAATTTTAGCTTTCATGTTTGTAATTTTAGCTGTCAATTGTTGTTGCTTCCAAGGCAAAATTTTTGACAGCTAAACTTACAAACAAAACTCTCATGTGAATCCAGTATAAAAATATTCATAAGCTATTGTTTATCAAATATCATTCTATTTATTTAATTATTTTTCCAACGAAAGTGTTCTCAAATAATGCGTAGACTATTTATATACAAAGTTATACATTATATATTATTTTTATGTGTTTAATGTAATATAATAAAAATAAAATAAAAATAAATACTTTTATTAATAATAAACAATATTAATTAGATTAATATTGAATAATATTTTATTCAATTGAATTTAATTACACTCTCATCCAAACTGTTCTCAAGTACTGTGTGTTATTATTACTATATTAATCGCAGTTGGCAACACTTTTAAGCCCTGCACTGTGGCACTTGCACAACACAACACAACACATTTTTATTACACCTTCTTATTGGAATCATGATACTTCAGTCTGATTTTGTTATTTATTGATAGCGTTTGGTGGTTGTGGTCTTATCGGTAGATGAGATAATTAGTATATTGAATTTGCAAATGTTTAAACTGATTAAATATATAACAATTACATATAAATTCATTGATTAAAAATCACTTGCTACAAATAATTCGCACACAGTACTCGTTCGGTATTTGGTAATGGTGGGTGATGTTTGCGCTTAAAATTAAATAAATATAAAATTTAGTTTATATATAATTTTTTTTTTTGCAAAATACAAGTGTAATATACATATGTATAAGCATACAATAAAATAAACTTTTTTTTTGCACAGAAAGAAGTTTTGGCAATAACTACTTTCAAAATTAATAGAGAAGAAAAATAGCTTTTGCAAAGAAAATAAAAAAGTCATTAACAAAAAGAGTTGGAGGGTATTAAATAAAACCACTGACAAACACGCCATAGGAACGAAAAGAAGAAACAAAGCGCAAAAAAAAAATTATAATAGTTTTTTTTTTTTTACGACGACGTGTTCAAAATAAATAGCTTAACCATTTTTTGTTGTGTTAATAAATATTATTAATATAATTTGAAATATATATATAAAAGATAAAAAATGGCACCAGCATTAAGTAAATTAATGCAAAATCAAAGCGCTATTGTTGGCGCAGCAGGCCTATCAGCTGCACTTTGGATAATTGCATATGGAAAAATGTCCAGTAAACGCAGGTTAGTACATTTGGCAAGCAACATCGTTATTTTTTAAAAAGTTAAACATAATTATTATCAATTTAATTGCAATTATTTAAAGCGTAAAACGCGTGACAACGTCATAAATATTACATGCCTGATTTAGCTAGACTACACCAAGGTGTAGCAAACTCCTCGTGTGTTTTTTTATGAACAAGAAAAAGTTAAGAGAATAGAAAAAAACTTGTACTTTGTTGCCATTGAAGTATGATTTTTTGGTAATGTTATGACGTTTGAATTAGACTGTTTTTTTTTCTGTTTTTATTAAATTGTGGTGGGAATATTGCAGAGTAGTGGTGTGGTGTGTATTAATAATAAAAACTAGCAAGTCAGTTTTCAATGTCATAACGCGGCGTGCAACTGAGTGATTGTTTTTTTCCGGTTTTCAAGTGCATTAACAAATTTTTAGCTTTTGGGTAGACTGAAAGTGTAATTTGTTGTTGTTATGGACCAAACAAATTATAGGCGATTTTTATTTATATATTTTTTTTTTGTTTTTTTATTTTTTGTCTGCAGTTGTTTAACAAAATTGCTATAATTATTAAGAGATTAAAAAAAGCGTGTTTTATTTATGTAATAAGATTTTTTATTTTGTTTTGCAATTTTTTATATTGAGGGGTCATGTTTTCTGTTGTTTTTGTTGTTGCACTCATTAACAACTTTTTGTTGTTTTTTTGTTTTACACAATCAAAAATAAAAAAATGTACGAATAATAAAGCAACAAATGACTTGACTGGCTACCAGTTTTACATCGCACTTTCGTCATCGCATCTCGTTGCAGTTTGGTTTAGTTAAAAAACGTCTAAAAACTCTTTCATCTTTGTTAAATTTGTTTCTTTTTTTTGTGTCGTTGTTAGTATTGTATTGCGTTTGTTGTTGCAACAGCTGTAAAACGAGTGGCTAGCAAAGTGCATCATATGCAATCATATTTACAACACATAACGTATTCAACACGATTTTTGCAATGTGCTGCGTTGCGCTGTGTATCATTAGTATATAACCGCTACACAGTATAATCCATATAGGATTACAATAATTTTCTTTTTCCTTTATTGTGGTTGTTGTTGTTGCATGCTTTTTTCTGTTTACAATTCACAAAGCAATGCAATTTTGTTATTGTATTTAATTTCAACATACTTTTCGCGCTTTGTATTGCATTGCTTAAAAACTAGGCACTCGCTAATATCAATCAACTAGTGTTCATAATAACTTTACGAATGATCTTAACGAATAAAGTTAATGTAAAAATATATCACCTTTCGTTTATAAAAATGCAAAAAACAAATATTAAAATTACAAAAAAAAAAAACACAAAAAAAATTCAATTAAATTCTGTATATAAATTTATTTTATTTACATATCGTGCAATTTTCATTATACTGACAATAATAACCTTATATATGTTATTGATTGGTTGCAATTGCAGTGTAAGCTCATGATAACATATATTTGTCGTTAATGTTGATATCAAATATTTGCAAAAAAAGAAAATTAATTTCAGTACATCAATTTAGTTTCGTACGTTTTATAATTTATTTAATTTATTAGCGTTTCTAATAGTTCAAATGCGAATGCACTCTAATTAAAAATTGTAATTAAGCATAAAAATGCAAAATTGTTTTATGCATTTGTGTTAAATTGTCCTACGTTTAAAAATAATTACTTTTTTTTTTTTTTTTATATTGTATTTTATTTTTTTATTACATATAGTAAACTTTTCATGTTAAGTAAAATGTTTTATTATTTTTATTGAATGTGAAGTCGTATGTGAAGTTCAACCAGAACCACATTACGGAGCAGACAAAGGAAATACACAAATAAAGATAAAAAAAGTTACTGCCTTACAATAACAAAAAAATTAAGTTAATATAAAAAAAAATGCAAAAACAAAGCAAAAGAAAAATGGTATGAGTTTAGGTTTTGAACTGGGGTAGGTACAAAAATTATTTTAATTTAATACGACAGCCACAGGTTAATGAGTCGTTTGTTTGTGTATGTGAGTCCAAAATAACAGTTAATAGAGTAATATTTTTTTACATTGCTAACCCTGACCTAAGCAGAGTCATTGATATTTTTATTGAGTGTGTATATGTAAATATTACATTGAGTAATAAAAGGTAAAGATATCATATAACGATATAAATGCAGTGCTATGAGATCAACGTTCTTACTATAGACTAGATGTTAAATCAAAACTTAATTGGCACAATTTACGATCTTTAATTTATTTTATATACTAGGTTGTTTAATGAGTGAATAAAATGAAAATTAAATAACGTTTTCTTAGGTGTAAAAATTATTTTAATAAGGAAGTATAAGTTAATACCATACATGTAAATTAACAAATATCAAACTTTTTGGAATGCCTACGCACTACCCACAATCCGTCACCCTGAAAAGTGAGTGCCCGACTCGCACGGACTAAATCACTCTCCCTCATTCCTAGAGATCCCTGTTCTACCCCGGACTACGTTAGTATTACTTGGAGTTAGGGTCCCTATTAGTCATTTAAGACTTCTGTCGGTGTGACCTGATTAAGGTGATTAAACTTGCCCTTGGTCTTGGTGTGATACTTCTGCTTACTCTTCTGTCAAGGTTTATTTTTTTCAATGTCAGAATCTTTTCAGCAAACATTTTAACAAATATCCAATTTATAGATCATATTTCTGTAGTGATTTTCCGATAAGGTCTGCAAAATACATCTTAACGGCAGCTATAAACTCTTAGTTTCATGGCCAATAAAGGTTTTGTTGTGATGCCTATAAGTTCTGAATACATTTTTGTAGTTAACTATTACTCTATGTAGTTAACTATGGCTAATAAAATCTGACGCTAGTATACCTATAGACCCAGAAGTAATTTTAGTCGCTATTAACGTTTCATTTAATGGTTCAATTAATTTTCTTCTTTTCATGCTCAATGAAAGCTCTACTAGGATACCTATTAATCCAGAACTAATTTTCATCGTTAACTATTAATACTATTCTTAGTCAATGAAGGTTCTACGAGTACACCTTTAAACCGGCTTTTTAGCATTAGCTTTCAACTATCCGTTTTATGGTCAATAAAAGTTGTGGTAGGGTACCTAAAAAGCCAGAACCATATTCCGTCATTAACAATTAACTCTTTATTTCATAAGCAATGAAGACTGATTACCGATAATCCCAGAAACAAATTTCGTCGTTAGTTGTTAACTCTTTTTTTCATTGCAATTAATTATTTTCGTGGTCAATGAAGGTTCTGCAAGTATACATATAAACCGGCTTTTTATCATTAGCTTTTAACTTTTCATTACATGGTCAATAAAAACTCTGCTAGGATACCTATAGACCAAAAATTAATTTTAGACATTAGCTATTTATTAACTCTTTGTTAATTAGACTACTATTAAACACAGAACCAGTTTTTGGTGTTTGCTCTGTAGAATTTTACAGTATTCAAATATAACATACTTAATTGTTATATATTAAAACGTTGCAGTTATTTATATTTTAAATAAAGAAAGTATTTACAAATACCATCATGTAGCATTCGTTGGTTATTTACACTATCAAATATTATTTATTTTAAATTTATCATTTTTTATAAATATTTTTATTCGTTTGTCGGTAAAGTACTTTTATGTAAATAAAGTACTCATCTTAATAGGTTTTTTGTACCAAATTCTTTATGGTTCGTAATGTTGGTTAGAATTTAATTAGTGAAAGTTTTTTTTAAAATAAGTTTTTAAAGTTCAAAAATAAAGTTTTTTATTTAAATTTTAAATAAATAAGTTTAGTTGCTTTTTTGTAAACGGAGAGAATTTATATTTATATATTTTATGTATTCTACCATATATAAAAGATATCTTATTAACATTTTTATCTTCATGTTACAATCTATCGTCCTTTTGACCGTCCTTCAGTTTCAGAAGTATCAAGTTTACACCAAATCTTATTTTGATTTACACATCTAAATAAGCTCTTAGCATATGTAGGGCTTATACAACCATTAACAAACTTTGTAAGTCAATTTTTTATTCATTTCCTATGATGTTATAGAGTATCCCTTTAGCTTCTAAAGATTTCTTGTTATTTTTTTTCTATTACTTAATCAACTCGTAAAATGTTTTTTCTATTTTTGTAAGTTCACCAAAATTTATGTGTGTTAAATGTCTATTAAAACAAATGAAGCTCCCATATCAAAGAAATAACATTAACTTCGATATTGCATATTATAAAAAAATGTTACAAAATTTATTTAACACTTATTAAGTTCAGTTATCGTTGATTGATCAAAGTGCTCGGTTAAATTTAATTTTAATTAAAATATTGTAATAATAAATATTTGGCTCACAATCGATTAATTGTTATAATAGTAACAATTAATCGATTGTTAGTATTTGTTTTTGGATCTATAAACAATTTATTTCACTGGTAGTAATAAATAATTTATTACCTTTGATTATTAGTTAGAATATTTATTACAAGTATATTATTTTTAAAAATATCTAATATTTAGAAAAATGTTAGCAATTAATTATAAATTAATTTATATCATCATCATTAGATCCTAGTTGAATCTTGGCCTCCCTATGAACTTATATGTATTATTTAAAATATATATTAGTTTGGCCTGAAATCTATTTATATATTTATTTGTTTTATAAATTTAAATTTCTATTAATATTAAGACTAAGTTTAAATTAAAAAGAGTTTTGACTAAATTAATTGGAAGTATTGAATGATATATATCTGTTAAGTCAGTCACAGAGAGTCATCCTGAAATCTAACCTACCAAATCTAGTTGAATAGATTTGTCCACTATTATTATCTATTATAACTTCTTTCATATATTCACAATTTTTCATTTCTTTATCCCACCAGATGAGCAGATGGTTATTATACAGCACCTAAATCAATTATATACTAGTTATATACTAACATATCAAACCTAGTTGAATAGGCTTGTCCACTATTATTATCTATTATAACTTCTTT